TTATTCATCCATAAGCGCATCCAAAAAAGGTCTAACAATAAATAATCTTAAATTATTAATTAAGTTAATTTGTAATTAATTTCCTAACTATTTCTTTTTCTTTAAATCAAAAGTTCCGCAATCTTTATAAAATTTTTAAGGCTTTATGGTTAATTTTCTTCAACATGTTAGGGAAGTTAAACGTTTTTTAATAGAAGCTCGTGGTATAATCAGATCTTAAATTTTATTAGTTACGTTTTTCTCATTCATTGTATATGAAGGCACAATTCTTGTGTTTGACTTTATTTTTATTATCTCTGAACCTTAACTGATTGTATATTCTAGCAACTTTTTTTACTGTAGAAAAGATGATGCATAACAATCCGACACGATATAAGTTTACGTAAGCTACAGCTCACTTTAACGCGATTGCAAAGCTTATTTATTTTTGGTATGTAAGTTAAAAGCTTTGCATCAAAAGTTGCAACCGTCAGTCAACGTATCTTGTGGAAATCAAAAAAAAATTAAGGGCAGTGGTAAAATTATGAAAAAAATTAAAATTAAAAATGTTAGATAAATTTGATCTTTTTCTTGGAAATATTTTTCATTATAATTTTCATATTTTAAAATGAATCAAGTTTTAACTGGGATTCAGTGTTGTAAAAAAGGCAACATAAGTTAGGAGATTTTTGTGCATATGCATATTACGCACAACTCAAATAAAATAAAAAAATCAAAACAATATGTTTCCATTTTTATAAGAAAGTTTTGCAAAAATCCTTTCATTTATAGAATAGAGAAATTTCAAAATGATAACAACAACAGTGATAGCATTGAAGTTTCATTATTGATTATTTTTTCGTTCTATTACATAAATAAAATAAATATTGCACAAGCCGGAATCATGTATCAGGCTTGTCTTGTCGTGAAATCATGAAAGCATGTCACTAAATTGTGTAACGAAGGACATTTTATACTTCAACCCCATCACGATTAAGATTATAATTAAATGTTTTTTTCGTCTCTTCTTCAGATATTTGTTGCTCGCTTGGTGATGGATTTATACCAGACGTTGATGAAGCTGGAATTTCAGGCACCGATGAAGCTCCACGACGGGTAAAGAACGCCATTTTTTCTCTATAAAGTATCATCGTTATTAAACATGTAAATAATTTAATCTTTTCTAAGAATATTTTCCCTTACTTAAATGATATCATATCTGGTTTGTTCTTTTCCACTTTTGTCTTACGAAGCTTATAAATTTCTTTTGATGTTTTACGAAGAAGCTTCTGCATTCGACGATCTTCAATTGAATTGGCACTGT